ACTTGCTTATGATTCACAGATCATACACTTGTGTACCTGAATTACTTCCAGGCCTCCTGACTTTCCTGTTACCTCTAAAACATTGTCCCTTTTCTGCCTTTGTGGATATGGACACTCACATGTCTTTGTGCATATAGACATGAACTAGCTTTTATTTTCTGCCACGCATTCCCCCTTTATCTGCTTGCTCCTGTCTGTACTGTGACTCACTGAGCTCTCCATCCTGTCATTTCCCTTCCATCTAATGACTCAGTAAACCTAGGGTATTAATAACCATCAGAAAGGGAAAATAACTGATATTTTTCTTAGTTTGTTTTTGTAACTGGAAGTTCTACCTGCTGAGTCTGATTCTTAAAATCATCTGCAGTTAAAGTCCACTAAAGAATGCCTCTTTTTAAAAGAGCTGCTCACTTTAGTTGTACCTAATGTCACTGAGAATCTCCCTGTCCTGTTTTAGAAGACTAACACTTCTGCTTATTGCCAATAAAGTAAAGCCTTTGGATGGTGTCCTCTTTGCAGTGAGGGTGACTTGTGGCATGGTGCCACAGGGTGTCAGCTGAAATGGGCTGGTTTTGCTAAGAACAGCCTCTGTACCACTGAGAATGAGTGAGATCTGGCTCAGGGGTCTGAGTCTGATTCAGAGGGCCAGGAGGTGGTATAGGCTTCCTGAGGGAAAAACGGCCTGCGATTCTACATAGAGAATGGAAGATTATTTCTTATTTTAGAGAAAAGCAGAACTATTTCTGAAAAAATTCCCAGAAAAAGAGGGGTATTGAAGAAAAGAAAGTTTAGAAAGTCTATTTCTTCTTTATCTCTCTGCTTTCCCTCTTCCCCTGTCAGCCTCAGCTCTTGTGGCTGATGTGTAACACAAGTACTTTCCTGGGATTAGAGTACCTATTGCTTTATACCACAGTCTTTAACTGGAAAAGAGCAGCAGGTTAACTAGAAAGTGCTTAACTAGAAAGTTTGACTGAGAGATCTTTTGCTTCTCTACTGGAGGTGAAGCCATACGTCTGTGATTGGGTTGTAGAGGAGAATAGGTAAAATAGAATACTGACTCATAAATAATAGCGGACATGTATTTGTTTTGCTTCTTGTACTGAATGAATAATCTTTGGTATTTTTAAGAAAAAGGACACAGTACTTCAGAGATTTAAACCATTGTAGATATTTTTCCCTTCTTGAAAATTTATAAGTGCTGATGTATTGAGTAGCCAGTAAATGTGAAATTACACATGATTCATTTATCAGAAGATTGTTTCTCACTTTGAGGACAATTAATAGCAGCAGCCTTGTTAAACTTCCTGCCGTATGATTGATCAATAAGCAGTCATTCCAGAAAGCTGTGCTTCTGAAACCTCTAGCATTACATAAAAAGCTGACATTTCAAAGACTGACTTTTGTGCCCAATCCAGAATGTAACCAATGTAATGAAAATCCTTTAACATTCATGTATTTTGTTTACATTTTTATGCCACGTCAGTACATTTTGTGAGGCTACCAGCAAGTGGAAGACTGTTTAAGGATGTGTTGTGTTTGATTTATTTGATTCTCCCTGTGTTTATACTGTCAGGACCTTCTTTTTCTGGTTTCAGTGTTGTTGGCTTGCGACACTAAGATTCTGAAGTTGGGCAGAAACCAAACCTATACAAAAAGGACATAAATTCTCACAGCAGCTGCACTTGTTCCTTTGCTGAAATTTACACACAGGCTTGATGGTTCAACAGTGGCTTGTGGAGAATGTGTTTAATTAGTTAAACACTCTTACCTTCCAAGCAAGACAAGAGATGAGTTCTTGTGATGTGCGGTGCCTAAAGATGAGAAAATATTTAAATAGCAAAAATTGAAACCCTGTTCATGTTTGATATAGAGCAGATACATCAAATAAAAGCATTATTATGTAAGCAGAACTAGTTGGGAAAACCAAAACAACTGAGTGCTTTGAAGAAGTTTGTTGTTTTATTTTATAGAAGAAAAAAAAAGTATGACAGCAGTCTATTAAGACTTTATAAAGTTCTGGTGCAGCAAGAAAGGAGTGTTACCGTATCATTTCTTGCAGTAATAAATTTAAATGGTCTGGTTGTTATTAGAATGCTGATCAGGAAGGAAACAGAAGTCTGTCCTTTTTTCATAAAAAGGTATAAAAAAGGTTACACACTTCAAAATGCAGAAAAGACAGAAATTAAAAGCTTAAATAACTGCAAACAGCAGGGTACGTCAGTAATGGAAGGACTTCTTAAATGATTTTGACAGGTTTTGCAGGTGCACATACTATGTCACATTGCCTAGTGGAGCACTGAAAAAGATTTATGGTTCTCCTTTTGGAATTTATTAAGAGTTTCTTTCTTTCTTTTTCTTTCTTTGCAAAGTAGTCTGGACATACCCCTCCCTTGCAATCGTTTTTATTACGGCTCCTAGAGGAAAGTCACCTATTCAAAAACATGTGTTGCTTGTTGTCTCCGTGGCTAGCTCACAGGGCTGTAAACTCTGGAGAATGTTGTTATTTATGGCCAGATATTTTCCTTTCCTTCCCTTTTTCCTTTTTTCCCTTGTATGTAAATCCCATTTTATTTAATTTAGTTCTTGAAAGTCTTTTTGTATAATTTTGTAGCCCTAAGCATTTAAATTTGATAACAAGTATCTTTTTTAAAAGAGTGACTCTGACCATCAGGAACTAGAAGGTTTTATTTTGTTTTGGTCTAGGTTTATCGACATGTGCTCTGTGATATTCCTTTATATGACGTTGTTCTTGCTTTCATCAAGACACTTGCATATTGCTGTTTGTAGATGCTGGGAGGGGCCACTGCTGTGCCTATGGTGTTTGCTGATCCTAATGAATTTTATTCAGTTCCTGTTTCTCAAAGACACAAGTTTTTTTGTTGTTTTTTTTCTCCTTTACCTTAACTATCCATGTTGTTTGAGCCATTAGTGTTTCAACTAACCAGTGAATGTTATCTTGTACGATTAATCTATCTGCAGATGAACAAGTGTCTGTTTTGGTGTTGTTTCTGAAATTTCTCAACATTTTTAATGAACATTCTTTCCCACAAAGTTTTGTCTTGATGTTAGAAGTAAATGTGATGACAATATCTAATTTTGATGTAAATTCAAAAAAAGTGAGACAGAGTGTTGCCCTCTCAGGGTCAGTTTCAGGCTTACAGCTTTAATTACAATGAATGTCATGTCAGAACTTCCTTGGGGAAGTAGTGAATTACCAGTGTTACAGAAACAAGATATTTTAATTGTCCCAGTGAAGATAAATACTTAAAGCAACAATTTTTTAAACCGAAAACAGTGACTGTAGTTGTGGCAGTAATCAGTAGATAACCAATTAACAATATCAAGTGAGGCAGAGTGGTTAATCCTCCTTTAGTTACAAGCAGGGATGCGATTGATTGCAACACTGATGGGAATGACACAAAGAAATCACAAAACCGGGAAAGAGTTATAAATATCACTAGTTGGTTTCTCTGTGTTCTGTCCTATAACTTTTGCCCAGTATTAAGACTAGTTTGGGCTCTTTCGTAGTTTTTAGTACTCTAATAATTGTCTCATTTTCTGTCAACTGATTTAACACATTAGGAACCACGTTTCCTCTTTGTGGATGAAGAATTACGGAAAGTGTAACCAAAGCTTGCTGCTTTAATTAAATCCTCTCTTGCTAAACAAGAACAAATGCGTCAATGTATGAAGAGTGAACACTGAGGTGTTCCTGACAACAAAAGGGGGGGGTGAAGTTACATAGAGTGTCTTGGTACATGTAGAACACTGACAACCTCTGTAATAGGTGACGTAGTGAGATCCTCACAGTACAAGATTTCCAAGCTCCTTGTGGTCTGAAATTAAGGACGTATTTCTTCCCCGTAAAGGCTTGTTATAGATTTAGACATTTGGTGAACTGCATGATGAGATGTGGGCAGTAGCACTTTTTTTACTTGCATTTGATTTTCTTTAAAGTTAGCTAACTTTTAATTTTTTCATTTTCCCTTTGTACAAATTCTGTCCATATGTCTTTAAATTATTTTCCAAGATTCCCGGTTTCCAAACTTCATAATCTCTTCAGTGGTTGCCTGCATAGTTAATCTTTGTGGGGTTTTGATACAAAAAAATCACAGGAGATGTACAAAACTTTAGTAGTTGGTTTCTCTGTGTTCTGTCCTATAACTTTTGCCCACTATGAAAATTAGTTTGGGCTCTTTCATAGTTTTTAATATTCTAATAATTGTCTCATTTTCTGTCAACTGTTACTTGATTTAACACATTAGGAACCACGTGTTTTTTCAAGTATTGTAGAAATCTTTTGCCTGGTTCTGCTTGCTGATTAATAATGTGATATAGCAGATTAGTGGTACTCTATATAGTAGCATATGAATTTACAACACACAGCTACTCTACACAAGCTCTGCATGGGATGCTCTGAGTGATTTCAGTAAATGGTCCTGCACAAAGGCATTCATGATGCACAGCTGGCATACTACTTAGCTGGCAATTCTGTTTAACAGCCTACTATCAATATAGCTATGTGAAGAGGCTCCTGACTTCTTTTGGTTTTGCTGCTTCAAAATTGCATTTCTTTTCATGCTCAACACATCAACCAAAAATTGACAAATATTTATATGAGAAAGTAGCAAACCACAGTGCTTGTTGTCCTACACTTGCAAGAAAAGGTAAGTAGTAGACTTGAGTGATGCTTTTCCTCCAATAGCCAGTCTTCTGCTAATCAAGGGTTTGCATAAATAATTAGGCACTAAAGGCTTTGCATAATTAATAAAATCCTCCATAGGCCATGAAATAAAAATGTTCTCTTGCTCTTTAATTTGTGACACTTGAGAACTTCATGTCCTCTTGTAACAATCTTTAAAAGACTTGATCGGTATGTGATTTTCCTCATCAAATGCTCAGGAAGCCTTAATGAGGAAAGTGACTGCTAGTCTGCAAATAAGTCATGCTGAAATATAAAAAATAAATAAAAATTATACTGTTAATTTTCTATCCTCCAGACTCGTTTCAACCAGCATCTCAGTAACCAGGATTTTGCCTTGGATGAAGATGATGATGATGATGAAATGGAGAGAACAAGCAAGTAAGAAGCCTGTTTGGTTGTGTGTGTATGTATGGGAGAAAGGGTAACTAGTGTTACTCAGCAAATCTGGGTTCAAGTGATGCATTTGTTCTCCTGTCCAGAATGACAGCTTGATTCCTGATGTAGATGATGTCAAGTAGTTTAGGATTAAATCTGCTTTTAAAAAGAAGGACAGGCTATTCTGTCTTTTCATTATTTATACTGCCTATAAGAGCTTGACATAATCCTCAGTCTTCACAGACTCAAGATAAAAAGATAGGCTACATACACAAAGAAACAGCAAAATAATATTTACCAACATGGTTGGCAGTGACCTCACTAATCTATTCTTTAAGTCTTATCTTGTTGTCATGGTAATAGAAAGTTTTCTAAAGGATCTGGAAGATAAATACTGCCTTGTGAGTCTCCCTATGTTTGAATTAAAGGGAAATCCTATATTGAGGCTTAAGCTGCATTGATGCATACTCTGATTGAATTCAGGGGACAATTTTTTGTAATAAACATACGGATATAAAACATGAAGGATCTTTAAAGTAAAGTCAAGCAACTTAAGCCATGATGCACTGGGGAAGAGGGAGCTCCTGAAGTGTTCAAAGGATATTATTAAAACAGTGAGCCATGGAAATACCCTTTGTAGTAATATTCTGGAGAGACAGAGATAGGGAAAGACTGCAGTAGTATGGGGGTCAGAGGTAAAGATAATGCAATTAATGAAATAGAAAATAAGAGCCAAAAGCACCAGTTCTCCTTGCAGATAGGCAGGGCTCCGGTCAATCTGGTCATATGACCATAGAAGATTTTTTGAAGTATGAGAGTTTTGCCCCTAGAACAAATTGTGTGACTAGGTCAGCTGGAGAGGTGTAGCAACGCTGACCTAAATATAAGGTGTAGATACGGGGAAAGAGGAACCAGTTTTGGAATAACTTAGAAGTAGAGGGAAGTTTTTGGAAGCCATATTGAAGGTGACTTGAAGTTAGGAAACAGGATTTCCAGCTAACAGTAACTGTATCTGCATAATATACATGTATCTATCTTACATCTGTGCTTAGGAATATTCTTGAGTAGGAACAAATTCTGCATTTATGTTTCCTCTCAGAAGACTTGGAAGACATTCTTCGACTTTCAGAAGTGTCTGTAATAAAATAGCTTTTGTGTTACTAGCTGGTGACCAAATTTTGTTTTCAGGTTATCATCAGAAGACAGTGAAGAAGCTTCTGCTTACTTTTATGATAGTGATGATTCTGGTGAAACTGGAATAACTCCTCAGCATCAAGGAGAAATGGACTTGCTTGGGGAGATTTTGGACACGCTGAGCACACACAGTTCAGATCAAGGAAAGCTCTCAGGAGCAAAGAGCCTGGATTTTTTTAGGTCAATGGATGACATTGATTACAAGACTGAGGTTAGTCTTCTGCTTTCTGTTGAAAAACAACTCCAGTCTCTTTATAATGGAATCCAGTACTTGTGGATTCAAGAACATACAGCTTAGACACTGCAGCACAGTCCTTGGAATTCCTACTGTCTCTTCCTAGGGCTACGTAGAAGTACACCCATGCTGGCAACTGCATGATGGCTTTTTGCCAACCAAGAGATTGATTACACCTTTGGCCAGTTTATTCATCATCTTGCAACAGTACTTTTCCCCTTTAACAGTAACCATACATAGTCCTGTGAATAACGTAGTAATTTACATGATCAAATAGTTTAGTGCTGTATTTGGCTGTTCAATCTGGTACTCCCAGAGCTGGTTTTAAGTCTTTTTAGTGTGGTTCAGAAGATATTTATTTCCATTCTCACTTTGCATTCTCAAACTAGACTTACTGATATGGTGATGTTTCCGTCTTGGTTAAATCATGAGATCTGTGTGGTAACTGCACCTGAAACACTGCTAGAATAGTACTCCAGAACTTTCTAAAAGGGCTTCTTGATCCTTTTTTAGGTAGAGTTGCACAGGGCCTGTAGTGTAAGCAAACTCCTTACCTACAAGTTTAAAACTCTCACCAAGTGATTGCTGTGATGTTAGTAAAAAAAAATGTGGTTTTGAATTACAGCTCATATCAGCTGTTCAATTTTTACTTTTGCTGAAAGGGATCCTATAGTAGAATATTTATAGAGTAGAATAATATATATTCTATTATATTTATATAATAGAATATATATAGAATACTGGAATAGTAAATTCCGATGCAAGTGTTTGAAAAGCTTGTAAAATTTTCTGAGTATCACAAAAGAGTCACATTAATAAAATGTCCTGTTTGGTTTGTTTGGCAAAAAAATTTAATATTAAAAATTGGTATAATTAATTACTGAAGCAAAAAGGAAATGCCATCTGGTTTTAGTTTTAGTGTTTTAGTCCAGCTCCTCCTCTTATTATGGGTACAAACCAGCAAAATGTGTCTTTATTCGCTGTCAAAAGTGCTTGTGCAAAGCCTTAATGGACAGGGGAGGCAGAAATCCTTCCTCTACACAAAAGGAGATCCTTAGGGTAAGAGAGACAGAGTTCTGGTGAGGAAGTGTAAAAAAACCCCAACAAACATTGTTGTTTTGAATCATTTAACCCCAAAAGGAATCCATGATTTAGGAACACAAAAAATCCACTATAGCTTTTTTGTTTCAAAAGTACCAGTGTAGAGACATCTCTTGTAACATTAACTATAAACACATGTTCTTTCTTTCAGAACAAGTCGAATGCACCCAGTGAGAGCAACCTTACCCTGCTCTGCAGCAATGCTAATGATCAAGCAGAGTGGAACCTTGGTCAGGATGACAGTGTGCTCCATGGGAAGCAGCTCCCTCCATCACCAAGGAAGCCAGTTTCTTCTGGTGGCCACAGAGAATCTCTCTCAAGGCTGGAAGAAGAAAGTAGTGGTAAAACATTTGTTGCTGAGAAGATGGACACCAAAAGTATGACAACGCCATCTCTATTGCGATCAAGTCCCCAGTTTGCTTCTCTGGAAAGTTTCAAAGCAGGTTATTCTTCCTATAAGTATGCTGAGCAGAATGAAACACTAAGCAATACCTCAGAAGGTCAGCTCTCAGCAAGTCTTGCTCAAGATCCATCCATTCTGGTCCCTTGGGAGAAAGACAGGAAGAAAGGAAATGAAACTCCAGAAGAGGGTGGGCTTCTTCAAGAAGTGGTGTCATTGTGTAAACTGAGCTCTGCTTTTCACTATGGTTTAAATATTTCAGAAGATAGCTTATCCAGCAGTAGCAGGGGAAATAAAACATAAGAAAACTATGAGAAGGGAAACTTGACTCCCATCAGAATTTAAAGGGAGACTACTCAGGACGCCATATAACTCCATATAACATGATAACCAAAAGTTGAAAAAGGAATAAGAGATCTTAGATTATAAAAATAACTCTCTTCAGTTGAGTATGCATTTTCTGCCATTGGGACATCACTTCTGTGTTTACCCAGTTCATTTTTTGGCTATAGTTCTGTCCACAAAATGGAACTAAATGTATCAATGCACTCTTAAATCAGGTACTAGTTAGTCTCTGTGTTAAAAATACAGCAAGCGTATGGTGCTTCATAGCGTTTGCTTCCTTTGAGCAACAGGAAAGGTATCACCTAACAGCTAACCAGGTTTTGAAGGTACTGTATTCGTCCCATTAAGCATGAAATGAACAGAGCAATCTGATTTGTCTGAAATGTACAATTGTTAGTATTTGTAATGAATAATAATTGCCTTAATCTTTTGAGAAGAGGTTTAACTGTCTTAGAAGGTGAATGCAAATCTACAAAACAGCAATAATTATTTTCCATGGCAAGAATTTGCTTCAGCAAAGCAGGGGTGAAAGGAAACTTTTTTAGAATGAGGAATTTCATGTGAATATAACTTGGAACTTACCCCAAACTAAAACTGTGGCCCTGTCTTCCAGACTTCAAAAAGGTAGCACATGCTTTTCTTTCTTCTGTAAAGTACATGAAGTGATAATTATAATGTGATGCTATTAACTTCTGTTTACAACTAAGACACTTTAAGGGCATACTATCCCGTTTCCCTAGGTAGAGTATTTCACATAAAAATTTCAGAAAGGTGAGTGTAAGTGGCATTGACAGATTTCTATTATTTTTTATTTTATACAGTGTAATAGTGTTTAAAACTAAGTTGTGCCTCTTCTGAACTATTTTCTTCCCATTTTTATTAACTATCTTTTCAGAGGTAGATTGAACTACTGTTCCTTAGAAGTCACATTTAGTTAAATGATCAAAGAGTCATGACTGAAAATTACTTGTAACACTAGAAAACTAAAATTGCAGATTCAGCTTGAGACTGCATGTACCCAACTCTCCTTTTTAGCTAAGCTGAACAACCAAAAATCACTTTCTAAATCCAGTGAAGGTGAAAAAATTGACTTGATAATTAGTGTATTTAGAACAAGCATTTGGCTTTCTTCTGGCAGCATTCCTGAGGAATATTTGGATATTTTTAAAGTCTGAAAATTCTTGCTGCTGTGTGGAGCAAGATACGGATTTATTTTTTTAAATTTTCCTCCTCTTTTCTTTTTCCACTCTTCCAGCTTTCGATACATACGTTGTCCTCCATGATAGCTCAGGACAGGAAAGGCATGAAGTAAGTCTCAGGAGATTGGAATCATCAGCCTTGAAGGGTATTTGCAATGCAGTTGGCAGAAGTAACTCACAAGTATAAAATGAACTGTGCCTGAGAAGAATGCTCTTCTACTCTTCTAAACTCATGTCAGAAACCTTTTTTATTCCTTTTCCTCTTTAACATGAATGACGAGTTTTCTGCAAAGTTTAATATGAGTTGCCTATTGAGATTTATGAGTAAATTTTCCTTTTAACTAACACAAATCAAAAGTGTTTTTTTGATTGCTTGAACTAAGCAGCTGAACTAAGGGTGTGGATCCATATCATTACAGGGGAAGTGCTTGATGCTTTACCAAAGAGATGCAGTGGAGTGAGACCTTGGCTTTGGTAATACAAAAATTTCAGCTTGTTCCAGAACAAGAAGGACTGGGTCAGTGCTTATCATTAAGAATGAGCCTCCAGAAATACTTTTTTAAAATCAGTGGTTACTAATATACTGGAGAGACAGAGAGAGGGAAAGACTGCAGTAGTATGGGGGTCAGAGGTAAAGATAATGCAATTAATGAAATAGAAAATAAGAGCCAAAAGCACCAGTTCTCCTTGCAGATAGGCAGGGCTCCGGTCAATCTGGTCATATGACCATAGAAGATTTTTTGAAGTATGAGAGTTTTGCCCCTAGAACAAATTGTGTGACTAGGTCAGCTGGAGAGGTGTAGCAACGCTGACCTAAATATAAGGTGTAGATACGGGGAAAGAGGAACCAGTTTTGGAATAACTTAGAAGTAGAGGGAAGTTTTTGGAAGCCATATTGAAGGTGACTTGAAGTTAGGAAACAGGATTTCCAGCTAACAGTAACTGTATCTGCATAATATACATGTATCTATCTTACATCTGTGCTTAGGAATATTCTTGAGTAGGAACAAATTCTGCATTTATGTTTCCTCTCAGAAGACTTGGAAGACATTCTTCGACTTTCAGAAGTGTCTGTAATAAAATAGCTTTTGTGTTACTAGCTGGTGACCAAATTTTGTTTTCAGGTTATCATCAGAAGACAGTGAAGAAGCTTCTGCTTACTTTTATGATAGTGATGATTCTGGTGAAACTGGAATAACTCCTCAGCATCAAGGAGAAATGGACTTGCTTGGGGAGATTTTGGACACGCTGAGCACACACAGTTCAGATCAAGGAAAGCTCTCAGGAGCAAAGAGCCTGGATTTTTTTAGGTCAATGGATGACATTGATTACAAGACTGAGGTTAGTCTTCTGCTTTCTGTTGAAAAACAACTCCAGTCTCTTTATAATGGAATCCAGTACTTGTGGATTCAAGAACATACAGCTTAGACACTGCAGCACAGTCCTTGGAATTCCTACTGTCTCTTCCTAGGGCTACGTAGAAGTACACCCATGCTGGCAACTGCATGATGGCTTTTTGCCAACCAAGAGATTGATTACACCTTTGGCCAGTTTATTCATCATCTTGCAACAGTACTTTTCCCCTTTAACAGTAACCATACATAGTCCTGTGAATAACGTAGTAATTTACATGATCAAATAGTTTAGTGCTGTATTTGGCTGTTCAATCTGGTACTCCCAGAGCTGGTTTTAAGTCTTTTTAGTGTGGTTCAGAAGATATTTATTTCCATTCTCACTTTGCATTCTCAAACTAGACTTACTGATATGGTGATGTTTCCGTCTTGGTTAAATCATGAGATCTGTGTGGTAACTGCACCTGAAACACTGCTAGAATAGTACTCCAGAACTTTCTAAAAGGGCTTCTTGATCAAACACTAAAACTAAAACCAGATGGCATTTCCTTTTTGCTTCAGTAATTAATTATACCAATTTTTAATATTAAATTTTTTTGCCAAACAAACCAAACAGGACATTTTATTAATGTGACTCTTTTGTGATACTCAGAAAATTTTACAAGCTTTTCAAACACTTGCATCGGAATTTACTATTCCAGTGAATAATATATATTCTATTATATATATATAATAGAATATATATAGAATACTGGAATAGTAAATTCCGATGCAAGTGTTTGAAAAGCTTGTAAAATTTTCTGAGTATCACAAAAGAGTCACATTAATAAAATGTCCTGTTTGGTTTGTTTGGCAAAAAAATTTAATATTAAAAATTGGTATAATTAATTACTGAAGCAAAAAGGAAATGCCATCTGGTTTTAGTTTTAGTGTTTTAGTCCAGCTCCTCCTCTTATTATGGGTACAAACCAGCAAAATGTGTCTTTATTCGCTGTCAAAAGTGCTTGTGCAAAGCCTTAATGGACAGGGGAGGCAGAAATCCTTCCTCTACACAAAAGGAGATCCTTAGGGTAAGAGAGACAGAGTTCTGGTGAGGAAGTGTAAAAAAACCCCAACAAACATTGTTGTTTTGAATCGTTTAACCCCAAAAGGAATCCATGATTTAGGAACACAAAAAATCCACTATAGCTTTTTTGTTTCAAAAGTACCAGTGTAGAGACATCTCTTGTAACATTAACTATAAACACATGTTCTTTCTTTCAGAACAAGTCGAATGCACCCAGTGAGAGCAACCTTACCCTGCTCTGCAGCAATGCTAATGATCAAGCAGAGTGGAACCTTGGTCAGGATGACAGTGTGCTCCATGGGAAGCAGCTCCCTCCATCACCAAGGAAGCCAGTTTCTTCTGGTGGCCACAGAGAATCTCTCTCAAGGCTGGAAGAAGAAAGTAGTGGTAAAACATTTGTTGCTGAGAAGATGGACACCAAAAGTATGACAACGCCATCTCTATTGCGATCAAGTCCCCAGTTTGCTTCTCTGGAAAGTTTCAAAGCAGGTTATTCTTCCTATAAGTATGCTGAGCAGAATGAAACACTAAGCAATACCTCAGAAGGTCAGCTCTCAGCAAGTCTTGCTCAAGATCCATCCATTCTGGTCCCTTGGGAGAAAGACAGGAAGAAAGGAAATGAAACTCCAGAAGAGGGTGGGCTTCTTCAAGAAGTGGTGTCATTGTGTAAACTGAGCTCTGCTTTTCACTATGGTTTAAATATTTCAGAAGATAGCTTATCCAGCAGTAGCAGGGGAAATAAAACATAAGAAAACTATGAGAAGGGAAACTTGACTCCCATCAGAATTTAAAGGGAGACTACTCAGGACGCCATATAACTCCATATAACATGATAACCAAAAGTTGAAAAAGGAATAAGAGATCTTAGATTATAAAAATAACTCTCTTCAGTTGAGTATGCATTTTCTGCCATTGGGACATCACTTCTGTGTTTACCCAGTTCATTTTTTGGCTATAGTTCTGTCCACAAAATGGAACTAAATGTATCAATGCACTCTTAAATCAGGTACTAGTTAGTCTCTGTGTTAAAAATACAGCAAGCGTATGGTGCTTCATAGCGTTTGCTTCCTTTGAGCAACAGGAAAGGTATCACCTAACAGCTAACCAGGTTTTGAAGGTACTGTATTCGTCCCATTAAGCATGAAATGAACAGAGCAATCTGATTTGTCTGAAATGTACAATTGTTAGTATTTGTAATGAATAATAATTGCCTTAATCTTTTGAGAAGAGGTTTAACTGTCTTAGAAGGTGAATGCAAATCTACAAAACAGCAATAATTATTTTCCATGGCAAGAATTTGCTTCAGCAAAGCAGGGGTGAAAGGAAACTTTTTTAGAATGAGGAATTTCATGTGAATATAACTTGGAACTTACCCCAAACTAAAACTGTGGCCCTGTCTTCCAGACTTCAAAAAGGTAGCACATGCTTTTCTTTCTTCTGTAAAGTACATGAAGTGATAATTATAATGTGATGCTATTAACTTCTGTTTACAACTAAGACACTTTAAGGGCATACTATCCCGTTTCCCTAGGTAGAGTATTTCACATAAAAATTTCAGAAAGGTGAGTGTAAGTGGCATTGACAGATTTCTATTATTTTTTATTTTATACAGTGTAATAGTGTTTAAAACTAAGTTGTGCCTCTTCTGAACGATTTTCTTCCCATTTTTATTAACTATCTTTTCAGAGGTAGATTGAACTACTGTTCCTTAGAAGTCACATTTAGTTAAATGATCAAAGAGTCATGACTGAAAATTACTTGTAACACTAGAAAACTAAAATTGCAGATTCAGCTTGAGACTGCATGTACCCAACTCTCCTTTTTAGCTAAGCTGAACAACCAAAAATCACTTTCTAAATCCAGTGAAGGTGAAAAAATTGACTTGATAATTAGTGTATTTAGAACAAGCATTTGGCTTTCTTCTGGCAGCATTCCTGAGGAATATTTGGATATTTTTAAAGTCTGAAAATTCTTGCTGCTGTGTGGAGCAAGATACGGATTTATTTTTTTAAATTTTCCTCCTCTTTTCTTTTTCCACTCTTCCAGCTTTCGATACATACGTTGTCCTCCATGATAGCTCAGGACAGGAAAGGCATGAAGTAAGTCTCAGGAGATTGGAATCATCAGCCTTGAAGGGTATTTGCAATGCAGTTGGCAGAAGTAACTCACAAGTATAAAATGAACTGTGCCTGAGAAGAATGCTCTTCTACTCTTCTAAACTCATGTCAGAAACCTTTTTTATTCCTTTTCCTCTTTAACATGAATGACGAGTTTTCTGCAAAGTTTAATATGAGTTGCCTATTGAGATTTATGAGTAAATTTTCCTTTTAACTAACACAAATCAAAAGTGTTTTTTTGATTGCTTGAACTAAGCAGCTGAACTAAGGGTGTGGATCCATATCATTACAGGGGAAGTGCTTGATGCTTTACCAAAGAGATGCAGTGGAGTGAGACCTTGGCTTTGGTAATACAAAAATTTCAGCTTGTTCCAGAACAAGAAGGACTGGGTCAGTGCTTATCATTAAGAATGAGCCTCCAGAAATACTTTTTTAAAATCAGTGAAGATTAAAAACTTATAGAAATACCTATGTCTCATTATGGCATGCATCACTGGAGAATCTCAGTATTCCAGAGTTAGAGGTTGTATGACCAGAGGTCTGTACTCCAAAGTTTTTATCTATGCCATGGCTTCTTCTTGTGTATCAACATGATATATTTTGGATTTTTAAATAACATAATAATATTATATGGCAAAGTGTTTTGCACTATTATAAATCAAAAGTATCATTAAAAGTATTTTAAATATTTGCTTTAAACTTTCTGGGTGGGTCAGACCACGTAGCTCAGGTGATGTTCAGATGAGAAAGCTGCAGGGCAACCTCATGGACACTTGTTTAGAGGTGGTATTAAGGACTCAGTAGAGGGCATTCTTCTCCTTTGTTGGTACTTAACATAAGCCAAACTTAGTGCTGCCAAGTGTCTAAGAGAAGAGACGCAGCGCAAAGATGTTTGTTCTTGTTGCACTTCTCACTTGTTCTCATTCATGTCCTGTCCACAGTTCCATCTAAAATGACTTTTTGTTCTCTTCATTTATTAAAGGTAATGAACAGTATTAATGTCTTAAGGAGAAAAATAGAAAAAAATATTGAAATTATGGCCATCGTTACTTTCACAATAATCAAACACGTAAGTCCAGGGATGCTGCCAGATAATGTTTTTTAAAAATGTCTCTCTGATAGAATAAATCTTACTGGCTTTACATGATAGACACTGAATTCCTATTATCATTAGATTGTCCCCTTTACACCGTTGTGGAAAAAATATGGAAGCCATGTGAGGCTGCTGATATTCTTACAGTTATTAGAAGAATCATAAAATTGAAAGTTTGATAGTGGATTATTTAAAATTTGAGAAATTATAATAATCGACATTGTAGTAATTCACTGTTCCATTGAGAGAAAATGCAGGCTGAAAGGAAGTAGATGGAACATGAAATTCAACATAGAATTATTTTGCAGTTTATAAAGCCCATAGAGTGTTTTAAATAATTAAATAGTATGTCCATTTTTGTTTTGGACCTTATATGAGTTTAAAAATAACTCAGACCTTTATCTATGTTGAGTTTTATTTAACAGGTACATTTTTATCTCTGAAATGTTACAGAATCTGTTCCACTTACTATCAGTGATCTTTTAAAAAGGCTAATTTTTGTGCCTTATTTAGACAGAATTGCCAGTTACCAAATAGGTAAGAGTCCAAACTGATATATCCAGTTCAACACTGTTGTTCTCTGTCCTTGTGAAAATATAAAACTGTTTATTGGCTACATATACAGTATTTTTATTACCACATTGGGTTCTATATTAAGAGAAATTGTCCAGTGCTTTTTACAAGTTTTGTTCTTGTATGCTGTTTATTTATGGAGATCATTCTAATGTCTGAAAATCAGCAACATTCATCACCAGTTACTGGTGAGAAATGGTTTCTGCTCAGTCAGAGCTCATGTGGTCTTCTTCAGAAGCATCTCTTCAGGATCTCAAAAATCTTCCTGTTTCTCCTGTTTAAGGGAGATACCAGGTTATTCGATTAAGCTTTGTGATTTGTTACACATAGGAACAAATTTCTGGTGAAGAAACTAGGACTGGAATCTTTGAGTTTGTTTTGCATAGGTGTCTGCCTGACATAAACTCTTATCGCTTATCTGGTTTGGGGAAAAATAAGTAAGGGCAGCAAAAAGAGATTCCTGGGTTGTTCCAATGGGGTGTGGTGAAGCAGAGCCTTGGAGTCCTCGGGATGAATAACAACTCTGAGGAAATCCAGATTTCAAGATACTGTGTAATGTTCTAGCTCAGTTGTAGTGATTCCAGCCCAGCCATGTAGGCAAAGGTAATATTGCCTATGGAATTAATCCCCTGTGGGATTTGCAGAATGGATATGTTGTCCCAGTCAAAGCCTTCCCATCCACGTGTGTAGAGATGCAACATGTGAAAACAGCGCAGATAATTCAGGGAAGGACAGTACTGTGGATGATCCCTCCCCACCCTCTATGCATGCAGAGGGCAGTCTGTGTAGAGTAGGCAGTGGTTTGCTCTTCCAGCCCACATATTTGGGCATCATGTAGCCCCCAAAAATAGACTTGTTCTGAAGGAAAAATGTAGCTGTAGATGTTGTAATAGAATTTGTTGACTGAACTCTTTGTTGTCATTTAGCATTTCAGTGCTGCTACTGCTGCTGTTTGGGTGGGGTCATCAGAAACTCTTGGCACCGGCTGCCTTCCTCTCTCAGGCATTGTAACACAGACCTCAGCTGGAGTTCAGACACATGCTGGGGGCTTTTGAAAATCCCACCCAATCTATTAGAGGAGTGTTTTAGATTTCAAGTCTGTTTTAGATGTCATTTCAGGTTTTAGAATGAGCTAGTTTGCAACCTCGTGTTCTTGTGAAAGATGTGAGTCTAAGCAAAAAAGAACAGTTAAGCCAGTTTTTTAAACAGCGTCTATTTCATCACCTACAATCAATCATATTCAGTCCTACAGAGCAATCTTTCATTGGTGCAGCTGTCTAATGGAATTGCTAGGAGCATCTAAAATCTTTTCTCTATGCATGTAATTAGTTGAAGAAACATTTCATGCAATAATCAAAGTGCCAGCATGAGGCCCTTTTGCAACTGCACCCCCTGTGTGACCCTGTCCTGCAGAAGGGAGCCCCAGGACCGCCAACCACCCTGACTGCACAGGAAGAGGGTCAACGGAGGGAATCAGCATCTTTTCTCTTGGTGCCAGGCTCTAGTCCAGGTGCTGTAAGACTCCAGCCAGCATGTTCCCAACATCCCAACATTTCGGGCTAAACTAATGTGGCTAATTAAAGTATGCCTGCAGCAAGCAGCTTCCTTATTGCAAAGCTCAGGATGGTGAAGGCTGTCTGTGCCCATGGTATCGTGGTAATTTGTTGGCGAATGAATGTAGAAATAAAACTGCACCAGCAAATAGTGTGATTGGTGATGTGACTTGTCTTCAGTAACTTCTTTGCTGCTATTAGATGTGTATGTCTTTACCAAGCGTTGTTTACCTGTTAGCAGAATCTGGGCTGAATAGGATGTGTCCTCATCTTCACCCCTAGATCATGGACCACAGCTGGTCTAGAATTCATGATATTAAGGGGATTGAAAATAAAATAATGAAAAAGGGATTGTACATTTTTCTGTGCAAAACTTTCCTTGATTTGCTCTGCAATGTATGTTAGGTTTTAGT